AAATAATCTATGTACTAAATACATACCCAGACAACAGAGGGCAAGGAAAACTTGAAATACAGAGTGACATTTGAGTGATATTTTGAGATGGAGTTTGCTGGGTAGTGAAGGGCATTCCAGACAGAACAGCTGGTGTAAAAACCAAGCTTTTGCAAAAATGTGTTTGGAGAAGAGTGAGAACTTGGTGTGGCTTAACTGAGGAGGTATTGGAGAAAATAGCAGAGACCGAGCTTGGTAAGAAAGGCTGTTTGGGTATTGATTTGGCTGCTTTAATGGGGACCAAAATAATAGGGACTTCAATAAGGTAGACGTTTATTTCTTTGTCTTAAAAGTCCAAATGAGGTGGCTCAGGAGTGCTCCGCTCCCCCAGGTTGTCCCAGGCACCCAGTCTTGCTCTGGTCACCCTCTAGGTGTTGCCTTTACTTGTGTGGTTGAAGAGGACTCCAGGACCAGCCCCATCTCTTGCAGTTCCACAGCTGGAGAGGGCATGACTTGGAAGTTCTGTTTACATCCTGTCAACCAGGCACATGGACACACCTTACTGCAAGGAAAGCTGGGAAATGTAGTTTTTAGCTGGGTGGCTGTGTGCCCAACCACACCCTGGGGGTTATATTACCGAAAGGAAGAAGCAGAAATTAGACATTGGGAAACAGTCAGTAGCCTCTGTCCTAGGAAGTTGTAGGCTGAATCGTGAAGCATTTTTAGAGAGCTGGGAGGTTTTTAAAGCAGGGCAATACCATGATTTAAAGAAGCATCTTTCCATAGATGGTGCCAGCAGCAGCAAGGCCAGCTACCGTGGGGCTGTTGTAGTAATTGGAGAAGGGGGAGATGCTGAGGCTAAATCCACCCTGACCGCATGGGTGAGCCTGGCCTTTGGATGGTTTGACAGCCTAGGGGTCAGTGGATTCTGGGCTGTTGTTGCTGCAGATCTCCCAGAAGCCATGGACCTCTTGGGGTCTGGGTTCAATCAGCAGGCTAATGCCCTTCATTTCAGACTTATGCTGGAACACATTTTATAGCTTGTTAATAATGTGAGTTGGAGCTGTGGAGGAATGGTGACCATACAGAGCATAAAGAGTTCCTTTCCTCAAAGTGGGGCCAACAGTGTCCTTGCACACCAGGAGCTTGAATAAGCTCCAAGAGAGGGGCCAGGGCTGTCCTTCTCAGGCCCCTGATCCTTCGTGGTTCTGCGGACAAGTTACCTCAGTTCTTGGCTCTGCTTGCTGTGCCCTCGGAGGGAAAATCATTCTGACACCTCCCTGGCTGGTCAGTGTGTCTAATAGAACATCCCTGCCATACTTAAGAAGTCTTCTGCATGTTTAGCACAAAAACTTCCCCATCAAAATATCCTGGGAATTCCCCAGCATTCCTTTTTTTTTTTAAGATTTTATTTTTCCTTTTTCTCCCCAAAGCCCCTCCAGTACATAGTTGTATATTTTTAGTTGTGGGTCCTTCTAGTTGTGGCATGTGAGATGCCACCTCAGCATGGCCTGATGAGCAGTGCCATGTCCGCACCCAGGATCCGAACTGTTGAAACCCTGGGCCGCCGAAGCAGAGCGAGCGAACTTAACCACTCGGCCACGGGGCTGGCCTTCTCCAGCATTTCTAGTGTGCGGGCCTGGGAGATGAGCAGTGGATGGCAGAGGCAAGGGCGCAGCTTTCAGTGCAGCTGGATCTGCCACTTACTTAGCTGCGTGACCTTGACCAACAATATATTCCACAGGCTCTGTGAATCTCTGCTTCCTCATCTATAAAACAGAGCAAATATTATTCCCATCTCAGGTTGCTGGGAGGGTCAGAGAATGCTCTGAAGGCACTGGCGTGGTGCTTGGCGTGGTGAAAGCATTCCTGGGGAATTCTCGAAGGTTCTCATATTATGTTTACCCGACTTCAAGCCTTGGATGTTTCTTCTCCATGAGGCAAATGTGGTGTCCCCCTCCAAAGGAGGTCCCCGGGGCCTCCAGCTCTGCAGCCAAGGTCAAGGAGACCTCCCTGGGCAGTCCCTAAAATCCTTTCCTATGCCCTGATTCTCTGGGCCTTCCAGGCAGCTGAAAACTTGCTGATGTTTATATGGCTGGTCACGTTATGGAAAAATCAAATATACAGAGTTTTTTTAAAAGAGGCATTTTGGCACAGCCTCACCTTTTGATACTTTATCTCACTGGTCATCTTATGCCTTAAGGAAAACGATCTCTCTTGGGCACAAGGACCCACACTGCAAATAGGTTGACCTTCAGCCCTGAAAGTAGAAGGACAGGTCAAGTCTCAGCGTTTGGGCAGGTGCCAGCATGCTCACAAGTGACTCGTTATTTTAAGAGGGGTATTTTTTTTTGCAGTCTGTTGCCTTCCCCACCACCAAATGGCAACGACACTAGAAGATTCCAGCCCGTTGTGTGGGTGCATGAAGCAGGAATGTGTTGGTCCCTTGCCTGTTTTCCTAAGGACAGGCTGGCACTGCCTTCTGTGGAGCCCCCCATGTTTAGCTGAGAGTTGCTGCAGGTTGGGTGTCACCCCTCCTTGACCGCGTATTCCCTCAGTCGGGTGGCAGCCATTTTATAGCTGTGAGGCCTCTCCCCAAGATGAGCTTTGTGGGAACTTAGTCTTCACTTCATTGTGAGAGGAGGAAATATTTGCTTCATTATGAGCCCATCTTGGACTTTCTGGATGGTGTTTTGTTTTTAGTGGGAATAAAAATATGAGACATCTTCTGTCTTGAGGTGAGGCTGTTGACTCTAGCCTAGGGGAGGACGTAACTTCTGTTCGTGACAGACCTTTGTGAAGTGGCAGAGCAGCTCTGGTGTGGTTTCGGCTGGCTGAAATGCCAGTGCGCTTGCTGTGACATTTTCCCATATTAGGCAGAGAATCCCGAGCGTTCGGATGTTGTCCCCCTCTAGGACTGAAGTGCTTCCCTAACGCTCCAAGTAAAATTTGGGATGTCTTCCTTGTCTGCTTTTAACTCTTTCCTTGGCGCTTGAAAAACCACGCTGACTTCCTGAATCGAAGTGTTCCGCAGTGAAGCTTTGCGTGTTGACTTGAGTGAGAAGGGATGTGTGGGGTGGCAGGTGGTCGGAGGTGGGCGAGGGAGCCTACAGGTGCTTTCAGTGGGCTCCTGTCTGAAGGGAGACAATGGGTCATTGGATGTTCTTTTTACCTGTGATTCCATCTTTCGTTTTTCCTGCTGTGTGGCCTTCTTATGAAGCACGAAGGAGACAGGGATTTTGGTAAGTCTCTGGCATAGCCGTTGTGCTGGGCACAGGTGTCTCCACGTTCCACCTGAGTGTGAGCGGCCCTGCCTTGCTGCCTCGCTGCCCTGCTGCCGCCTCTGCCTTGGTTCCCACAGTAAGGGTAGCAAAGGGACTGGCCCTCCCTGCTGTGCCTGCTTTGGTTCTCCAGCAAATCCCTGCCCCAGGCCCTTCCTGCTCCCTCTGTGGCTGCCTCCCAGCTGGGAGCACCCTGGGATTTACTCCCACCATTTGCACCCATCGTTTCCTCTGTGTGTGTTTAGGGTTGGGCCTTTCTCCCTTAGTTTGATGCCAACTTCCACCTTTTAGAAACACCTCCTAATTCTCATCTCTTGCCAGTACCTCCTCCTTACTTCCCCTTGCTGTTGTGTGGTTTTGTTTATCTTGAGAGTGGTTTTCCCCTCGCTCTTTGTGGTGGGAGACTGAATCACATGCTCTATCCTCTGCTTTTGTTTTCTACTTCAAGGCAAGAAAATGATGCAACAGTCTTCTTCAGAATTGACCCCCACTGTATTCTTATCTTTTGAACAGTTTTTCTCGTTGAGGCTCATTCCTAGAACAAAAGACTGAGTTAACTCTCCTCTCATGAACAGCTGGGTGCCTTGGTTTTTATGGGTTGACAAGACCACCACGGCTCACACCGCCTGTTTACCATCATAGGTCCTGAATACTTTCTATGAAATAGGCTGATAGCGTGACTGATATCAGAATTAGTTGATAGATAATCAACACTCACCCATTAGCATTCACTTAATTCATTCTTCCGGGGGGTAGACAAGTTGCGTGTGGCTAGTCTTCTGGATACATTTGCCATGTTTACAGTTTAATTAACAGGCCTGCTTTAAGGTGCTTTGTGTGGACTGAGTCACCTCCATAGGCATTATCGTGCACCTCCTGAGCACAGTCTGGGCGAGGAACTGTGAGGGGTATAAGTGGTGGATCGAGAACAACCCGTGTATGGGAGTTTGCCATCTCAGAGGGAAATGAGTTGGATACTAACTTACCCAGAAGACAGAACTTAATGAGTGCAGTAATAGAAGTTTTGACAAAATGCTATCAATATGGACGCGGGAAGAAAGATTAGTTCTGCTTGGAGTGCTCAGAACACCAGTATGTCAGGGGAGAGGTGGTATTCAAGCTCTGCCTTGACAGAGGGGCACCTGTTGGTCCAATGGTTGGAAACCCCTTGAGAAGTGTCGCAAGGGCAGGACCACCAGTGTCGTGTTTACTCTTGCATCTCCTATGTCTCTGGTACTCAGGATGTATTTGGATGGATGGATGGAAGGAAGTGTAGGCAGATGGACAGATGAATGAATGAATTTAATGAAGGCAAAAATCTTAGGTGGGGCAGTGGCTTGCTTGCATGGTAAAAGAGTGGCACTAAAATTTAGGCATATTGCTGAAATTGTAAGTAGTTTAGCTTAAGTGTAGAGTGATTGAGAGAAGATGGCCAGAGAAAGGACTGGAAAGAAAGACTTAGCCCAGATGGTGAAGGCGTAAGAATTTTGGCTTCACAGAAGGTGGGCAGTTAAATGGCAGGAACTATTTCTGGTAGGTCTTGGCAGTAAGCATGTGTAAATCTGAGTTTCAAGAATAGAATTTAAATTGGAGAGAGACCCCTGATATGCCTTATCTGTTCTCTCCATGTCGTGGGTAAGTAACCAAAGACGTCTCCTGCAGGCCACAAGTTTAGTTAAGCAGCAGCAGCAAGGCCATAACCGGTTCTGGGCTCTCATTTCTCTGTCGTCTTCCCTCTAGACGTGTGCAACAGCACTGATCTTCCGGAAGTCGAGATCATTAGCCTACTGGAGGAGCAGCTGCCCCATTATAAGTTAAGAGCCGATACCATCTACGGTTATGACCACGACGACTGGCTCCACACACCCCTCATTTCTCCAGATGCCAACATCGACCTCACAACTGAGCAAATTGAAGAGACGCTGAAGTACTTCCGTAAGTAGTTCCCCTTTCGCATGATGACGGCACTGTGATGACCAGTCCTTCTTAGCCGCGGCCTCAAATGAGATCTTATGTTACTTACTAAGTCTTGTGGCCTGCTATCCATGGAAAGAGACTCAAAGAAATGTGGCTGCAGGGGTTAGCCACATAAAAGGCCTCCATTTTAAGTCTTCTAAATAAATTTTTGCATTGTGAGGACAAGTACGAGTTTTCATTTGAACCAGCTTTCTCTTAACCATACAGAAGGATTTGAAGATGCTCCCGTTTTCCCCTCTTACCAAAAGTGCTACTTGAGTCCTTAGAAACTCATTTTGGGAAGGAGTTTGCATTTAAACCAAAGGTATTGGGAACATCTAGGTTCCCAGTTTACATGGCATAGCCTGACATACCAAGACTTACGATTTCTGTGTGAAAGCCCATGAAGCTGCTTATTCGGGAGAGTCAAGATGTTGCTGCAGTAGCAAACCAGTCATGCGAGGGCTGCAGAGCTGACACCTGGTGGGGTGAGCAGTACACTAACTGGGCTTTTTTTCACTGTGTTTATGAGGACAAGTGTGTGAGACCTGATTTTGCAGACTTAAAAAATATATGATAATTTAAAAAATTCACACTAATGATGTTTCTGATGTTCATTCAAGAGGTGCCTTTTTTGAAGTAAGTTTTCTCTTTAGAAATTTAGGGCACCCCTATGAGATTGGTAGGACAGCCCAGTTCTTCTTTGTTTTGACATCTCTGACTTAAAATTTAATTTGAACCTAGTCTAAATGATAAGTGATGACATATACATATTCTGTGTATCATTGTGTCACCTTAAAAAAACATACAGCAATCCTGCATCTTACTTGGAGATACCGTGGTTCAAAACCAGCTTCTAGTACCTCTATAAAGTTTTCTGGAATTGTTTTCTCTAATATAGACCGACTTCCAGTTTTCTTGAATTTGTGAAATCATTTACAATAAACAAGTCAGAACTCTTACGTTTCGCCTTTAGAGCCTATCTGGGGCTGTTTTCACATTTTCTCTATTAAATATTAATAGGAAGTGAATTTTGTTTAAGTTGACCTGTATTTTTATAAACCCTACAAGTCTCTTTGTGAACACTGCAGATAATCAGTTTCAGTAGGAATAAAAATAGAATAATCCACCCCAGAGCAGATAAGAAGCACATTAGGCTTGTCCTAATGTTCAGGTTGAACCTTTAGAACTTCAGGTGTGTCTTGTGGCGTATAGGAAGTTCTTTGTAAGTCGCCAGTGTTTACTCACAGTATGTGTATCACCAAGGAGATGTGGTGTGTGGAAAACCGTGTCCTGAGAAACCTCCATGGTAGTCCTATATTTAGTTCCTTCAGACTGTTTCACAGTAGAATTCACAGCAGAATTATTTTTCCAGAAATTTCTGTGTGTTACCTACCCTTCCTTAACAGACTGTCCTGTGATTCTTCAGGACCCCTTCATGGCCGTTTCTGCCACAGGACACTCTGGTCCCTTCTCATACACGCTGACTAATCACTTACATTCACAGTGTAACTGGAGCACCATCCATGGGCAGTACTTCACTGTTTTCGCGGAACTTTCATATGAATTGCCTCATTTCGCCCCTATAAAATGTCTATTGTGTGGGCAGGACCAGTTTTATTATCAAGGAAATAGAATCGTGCAGGACTCATAGCATTTTTTCCATAGCACCGACCTACAGCTTCTGAAATCCTTTGAACAGTAGACTTGAACAGACATTGTGGCTGGTCGTTGTTTGTTATACTTTTAGTTATGTATTTAAGAGAGGAATAAAATCGTGGTGGATTTGGCAGTGGCTAACACAAATTATAATAAAACCAGAAGAACCAAAATAGACATTGAGCAGAGATTCTGGAAGTTCTTAGAGCATGATTACATCCAAGTCTTACCTTAATTCTGTATTTTCCTCTGCGGTACCTCTGCTTAGAGCAGAGTAGGTGTTTGCTAAGTATCTGTTAAATGGATGGTCACTTGTTAACTCTAAACTTAAATACAGCACCCTCTAGAGCAAGGCTTTCACACTGAGGTCCTGGGGAGCCCCAAAGGATCTGTAGAGAGAAATGAGGAGGTCTGTGAACTCATAAAGGAAAAAAATCACATCTTTCTTTTCATTCAATTCTAACTGAAATGCAGCCTTTCCTTCCATTATGAGCATAGAAAACAACACACAGTGGCACTGGCAGGACCTGTGACGTGGTTCCCGGTAGAAGGTACAGATGTTTGCATGTCATGGTACAGCGGAAGCAGATGCTTGGAAATACCTCCTTTGCTCAGCACTGCTTTGAAATTACTTCATTATTAGATGTGCTGCTAGATGTTGTTATTTCATGCATTGATAAAGCAGCACTTAGCACACCACGGACCTTTTTCAAGTTTTAATAACTACATTATCATACAATTAGTTTCCTTCCCAGTCCTCATATTTTATGTCTTCAGATCTTTCTTCTGAGGAGAGGTCCGTCGGCCCTGCCAAACGGGCCGAGTGGTCAGTGGAAGCACAGGTCAGGAGCCCCGCTGTGCCCGTGGTGTCCTTCTTTTGTGTCATTTGTTTACATGTGTGTAACCCAGGAGATGCCGTGGTTCCCAGCGCTGTGACTCATTTGTGTGTCCAATCGATTGTTAGTTGCATGAGAGAACAACAGACCCTTTGTTTCATTTCAGATTTATTTTCTGCCTTGGCTAGGGTAGTGTTTCTCTCTTGTGGGTGAGGGCTGCTTCTGGGGGCTTCTGATCCGCTTTCCCAAGTGAAGACCACCGGATGAGAGGGCTGTCTCCACCATTGCTACACAGAGCAGAGCAAACGCCTTGCATGTCAGGAGGTAGAATAAAACTCAACCCCCTTTCCTACATGTCATCCCTCAGAGTGGAGGAATGCCTTTCAAATCTGGCCCTCACCTGGCTTGTCGAGAAGAGGCAAGAAAGCTTTGGGTGTCCACCTTTACCAGGTGATAGAATGACCTTTTCGGAAAAATTCCAACACTTCCCATAGTCAGGTAGGTTTCTTGACTCCTGATGAGGTGAGAAACACAGAAAATAAAAATGACTCGCAAAGCAAACCTATCCATAAATATAAAAGAGGAAGAAAAAATAGTTAACATTTAATGTTTACTGTATGTGAGTCATTGTTTTTAATACTTTACATGTATCTCATTTAGTTCTCATAATGACCTCTGATTTACATAGTCTTGCTAACCCCCCATTCTACAGATGAGAACTCAGGCTCAGAGAAGTTAAGAAGCTTGCCCACAGGCACACAGCTAGCAAGGCGGGGTGCCTAGTTTCACACCTAGGTTGTCTGGTCTGACTCTATCTTTACACTCTCAGAGTAGGTGAAGGAGAAAAGAATTCTAGTTTAAGAAGAAAGCTCATTTGGTAAACGTGAAAAAAAACCAAAGCCTCAGTTTCAGAATATGTCAAAAGCTTACTTATTTTTAAAATATGTGTTCAACATATCTGAAATTCATTTTTTTTCACTCAAGGTCACTGACCCAAGTGCAACTTAGCCTGAGGCAGCTTAATTTCAGATGAGGTTTCCTCCTCCTCTGTACTTGCTGCCTCCGTCCCGTGTCTGTAGGTCGTGCTTCCCAATCTCAGGTGGACATGATTACATGTGCTGCAGACTTTTCTAGTCACGTAGCATTCTGCAGACACCAGACTTGAAGCTGGCTGCGTTAGTGCCTAGGTGGCTCCTTGTGGTTCCTCCTTTCCAGGGGCCATGCTCTGTAACTTTCTGGTTAAGGAGCCTTGGACAAGAAAAGAAATCTTTGTGTGTCTCAAGTGCATATGATCTGCTGACCACTTCACCTCTGAGTTTACCTGGAATAATCTTTTTCCCAAGGAGAAGAGAAGGTTATGAAGCAATAAGAGTTTCAAGGCATTGTTCCACCGTTTGCTTTTACTATAAAGTAATATTAATGAATTGACCAACAGATACTTATTGTGTGCCTGGTATGAACCTGTGATCTTTTGTGCACTTGACCTGTTTGCGTTCCAGCTGAGGTTTTCTGGCTAAGGAAGTGAATACATCTCCTGGATTACTGATTTTCTTCCATTACCCACCCAGGGACTTTACACTGGGTTGGGCCAACGCAGGAAGCTCTCGAGGCCTTTGGCTGGCATCCTGCACCGAGTTGCCAGCCTTGCTTATGTGGGAGGACGGAGTGGAAATTAAACCAGCTCCCCATACCATGTTAATGTTTTAAATTTTAATTTAAACAAAAAATTTAAAGACCATTAATCTAGTCCTACCCAGATGGGGCACCCGAGGCTTGGGGTGAAGTGAGTTGCCAAGGTTGTGCAGCTGGCTTGAATGGGACCAGGATCCTGTGTAGGTCTCCGCGCTCCTCACCCCAGCACTCCAGAGTTGTGCCCATAAAGTGGCGCTTACAGTAGATGCCATGCCGCCGTTTCCACCTTTGTTCCTTCACTTGCGTCCATACAGTCATAGTAATGAGCATTTGTGTGAGCCTGATGCATTGCAGTTCACTCACACAGATCTCATCCCACGAGAGAGGGAGTCTGCCTGGGATAAGGCACGAGGACACAGCACGTGGCCTGGGGGTCTAACTGGTGAAGCTTGGGCTGCAGTGCACCCTCTCCACAGGGTGCCTACCTGGAGGTTCCTTCTTTCCTCGTCTGATGCGTCCTGGAGCAGGGTACGTCACAGTGACCCACTCCGTTTTGGACCCTCTCCTCGCTTGGCTTCCAGGGCCTCACTTGCTCCCGGATTTCCCTCCTATCTCTCTGGCCAGTCCTTCCAGCCTCTTTCACTGGTTTTTCTTCCTCTTCTTCTGAGCTTCTGAATCAGTGGCTCTCAACCTGATACACCTAGAGAGCTTTTAAAAATATACCCTCCTCAGGCCTTGTCCTCAGAAATAGTCATTTTGAGCCTGTCATTCCAGTCTCTAGGTAACTGGGATGTGCTGCTCTACCAGTTGGAGCGCCCGGTCTGCTGCTCTCCACATCGTCTCTTCCCAGGG